TTTTAGATTATATTCATTTAAGAATATATCTACATAAGAATAAAATCAAGAAATGAAAGAACATCGTATGAACATGTTAGGAACAGGTTTTAATGAAAATTGAAGCACAAAAGTGACCTAGGTGATGACCTACCTTATGATACCAAATAATGGCGGATTACTTGAGAAGATGATTTGATGTAGTCTTCCAATTATCACCTTAACTCCTTTCTTTAATGGATGTTGACTAAAAAATGTTGAAGAAAGGTGCTGGAAATGGTGCCACTCTTCAATATGAAGAAGATAAATCAAACAAAGAACTCACCATAAGTGATGAATCACTTTATAAGAGTTTTAGAGTTCTTAAACACAAGAACACTTGGAGATTGATGGAGGACCACCCTTGAAGCTTCACGCTATTTTGAGTAGTATAGGATTTTATTGCTTTATTTCCTTTTTTTTTTGCCCTTGTATTTTAGGGTACTTTAGATGATAGGATTTTATTTTGTATTTTCATTTAGCCTTTGAATTATGGGGAAAATTAGCTTAGGATTTATTTTTGGACTTAAACCTTGACTTGTGAGGTGAAAGTCCACTTTTTCTATTTTTAGGTCAAAGGGTATTTTTGTCTTTTAGGAGGAAGGGAACCCATACATCATCTAGGGTTCATTTATGTTGTATTTGGGCTTGCATTACACGACCATGCAACCCTAGATTCTTTCCTACTCCTATATATAGGCCTACCACCTTGTACACACTTTGGATTATATGAATTTGAGTGAGCATTTTTGCCTCAAATCCTTCCTTAGTCACCTAGGTCTACACGACCAAAACCTTCCTCTCCTCCTTGAGTGAGTTTAGGGTTTATTTGAGTGGCCTTCATCCCCACTTGGTGAAGTGAGCCAACCTAGAGCCATCAAAACACCTTCCTCCCTCCTTTTTCCCTATTCGCCCACCATCATTTCTCTTCCACTTTGCCTCATTTTTCTTACCCCTTGAAGGAACGTCCAAAACTTAAAGTCACCACCTTGACCGTGGCAAAGGATCCCCTTCTCTCTTGGGACGTCATTTATCCTCCCATGGTGGAAGGAATTCATTAGAAACTCTTTGAAATAATTTGAGAGAGTAATTTCTTACTCAAAATCTGTATATAGTTAAAAAGTGTGTGAATTACACGTTCAAATGGATATATATAGGTTAGGATAGTGTGTGAAGCAAGCTGGCTAACTAAGGTTAGAAATAACCTTGGTTAGCATAGTTTAACTACATATGAGTTAGATTTTGAATTTGAATTATCTTTCCCTCTTAAAGTCACGTCCAAAATAGGGGAAAATGAGACTCAAATTCAGTCCAAATTCAACATAGATTAATAAAGAGGAAGCATATAATAGGTGTGACAAGTGGGCAAGGCTAGGCTACACTAGGATATGCAAAGTAACAACTATGCAACCTAGTGATGTGGCAGCCGATATGCAGACCACTAAGCACTCCTATAAATGCTAAATAAACCTTTTTCAAATGCTAAAGGAATCCCCCCAACCTATAAGCACATAAAAGAAGACAACAGTTAAAATACGAGGTCCAAAGAAACTATGACTTATAAATCAAGGTCTTATACCCTACCAACTATGATTAAAATACAAGATCAAAAAAATATCATAATATAATCACTACTAAAATGAATTATAAGAAAAATATATAACAACTATAGGAGCCCTCTAAGGTAAGGCAGGCCTCCAAAGGTATGGTACCCTACAAAATGAAGGTAAGTGCCCTAAAATTGTTCAAACCAACTTTATCAACATTCACTCTTCTTGCACTTATCTCTTTCAAATGGATCCTTAGGAAGTAGGTTTCCATCACTACCCAAGTATTCTTTGAATAACAAAGTCTCTTTAGGCTTCAAAATTAAGTATTCTTTAAATAATATAGCCTCTTCAAACTTCAAAACTAATCATTCTTTGAGCAAAAAAATTTTTTTTCAACCTTTAAGCAAAAACATATAGTTAAAACTGGGCAAGGATAACAATTGTTTCCTTTTTCTCACAAGACATGATACAACTTTTAGATTTATATAGAAGGAAGAATGAATGAAATACTTTAAGTTATTCCCTCCCTTTTTAATTCTTCAATCTTCTTTATATGAGTGCATGATGAAAATGACCGTTGCAAATCCTTGAATTTCACTTGTATGTTTACTACATCTTTCTTCTTTATAGAGTAAGATGTTCGTTGGTGCATTAAATACGAGCATGAAATGTGTTTCACCAAATAATCATTTCTTATTTGATTAAGGAGGTTACTTATCACCTTTTTAGCACAAAATGGGAGGAACTATTGCATGTGCCATTCATAAATGACATTTTAGATGTCTTTGCACGCTTTGAGATATATGGTTGTCTTTTCTTTGACAAAAAGCAAATGTATGTTCCCTTATGAAATTCAAGTACCAAAGAAGTTTTAATTCCATTTATCTATTAAGGAATAACATGGAAATAGATGATATGATCATTAGTCATAATAGATGAAATATTTAATGCATTCATATTAGACAAACAAAGTGCTCCGTGTAAGAGACTGGTCAAAAGACATATCATCATATAAAATCATCTTATACTGTCAACTTATTTGTATAATTTTTTTTATCAAAAACGTCCAAGATTATTATCATTAAAACATAGATTCTTAAAGGATCTCAAATCGTCCTTTGATCTAACAATAAGATATTCTAATTGAGAATTTGAACTAAATATAAAAAGATATTGTTTGACCAAAGAAAGAAAAAAAATTATAAGTGTGTAACATAGATTCCCGAAGGATCTAAAATCATTGTTTGATCTAACAATGAGATATTCTAATTGAGAATTTGATCTAAGATATTGTTAAACCAAAGAAAGCAAAAATAATTTACATATATATGTGTGTGTGTGTTTATGAGAGAGAACAAGAGATATTCTAATTGAGAATTTGAACTAAATATAATAAGATATTATTCGACCAAAGAAAGCAAAAATAATTTATGTGTGGGTTTATATTTAAGCAATTTTTCTTTCTTTCAAGTTTTAAGTACTTAGGATTGAAAAAAATGATTAATCTAATTGGTAACATTAAATTTAGGGTAGTGTTACACATGCCAAGACCAACTCAACATATTATAAAGCCTAAAATAAATCTTAATGTGAGATTTTTTTAAATTATTGATAATATTTTTTAATAAAAAATATTTTAGAGATAGACATTGAAAAAAATAATTATAGTCTTATATCTTTTAGTAATGCACCTTTAAAAGTGAATTTTTAAGAATGTAAAAATGATTTTAAGTTTTAGAACCTTGAAAAAATTATATAAATATTAATATAAAATAATTTTTTTGAAAGTAGTCTAAAACGAAAGTTTTGTTGTCTACCTCTTGGATCGGTCCTAGCACGTGCAACTAAAATTGTACATCAATTTTGTTTCTATCTTTTTTCTTCACTTCATTTATTATGAAAAAAGATATTAACAATAGAGAACTAGACACAAAATGAATGTTGTACAATTTTTATTGTATGTATAACATTACTTTTAAATTTTATCCAAAGTTCATAACTTTTTTTCGAAACTACCCTTAATGTTGGTAGGACACTTCCTCTACCAACCACTTATTAAACCAATAGAAATTTTTGATCCTGTCGCTAATATTCCGCCAACACTGATTTAATGAATATTAACAATGTACATAAATTAGTAACCAATAAGATTCCAACAAGTTACTAACACTTCCAAAGAAGCTTATTTATTCATAACCCAATTGATATGTATTAGTTCATAATCCAAATTACGTTCTGCCACCTCACGGGAGATGAAATTTTACAAGGGAATTGCTATACTACATTTTGTGGAAGGGATGCATCTTTTATCATTGCATTCTGATGAGCATCATCCCATTGATCTCTGTAATTATCTTGCATGCCGAATATACTTTTGATGCTCTCTAAATACATTTCCTCCCTCCATTCCTCTATAGGAGGCAAGCCTGCTCTAGCAGCTAACCAATTGCAATAGTCAATCTACAAGAAAAATTTGCAAAAGTAATCAGAAACTTGATGTTCTGCATAATCCCTACACTTTTAAATACATAAATGTTCATGCCAATTTTAGGATCTAATTTTCCAATAAACCAAATTTAAACTCACGTCATGTGGATATGTTAACCATGTCAAAGAAGAAATTACTTGCACACAAAATTTAAAAAAAAAATGCAATTATGAGAAGAGATTTTCCTAATAGTATGTTTGGATGAAAAATTTTAATAGAGTAATTCAATTTTTTCAAAAAATTTCAGTTCCTTTGGAATGAAATGTTTTATTTGGATGGAATATTTACAAAAAATTTGAAATTTCACCATTTGTTAAATTTTTAACATTGGTAGAATTTCAAATTCTCCTAAAAACATAAGAATTTGAAAATTTTCTTTTTCTTTTTTTTTTTTCCTCCTACCTCTTTTTCTTCTCTTTCAAAGTTGACATAAAAAAATATCAATAGTTTTTTTTAGTATTAAATATTCAAAATTATTTTCTTAAATTATTAAATATTATCTAATATTAATTTTAAAATCATTAAATATTTAAAATTGGATAATATTTAGTTTTATTAAATTTAATCTTAAAATTTTAAATATATATATGTATATATATATATATATATATATACATATATATACATGTTTCAAATCAATTTTATTCATGGTAAAAATCAAATTTTCCTATCTAAATTAAGAGTTTAAAATTTTAAAAATTAAAAAAAAGGAATTTACTTGTTTAAACAAAACATTTAAAGAATGATGAAAATTGAAATCAAAGTAATTTAAATTCTGAAAATGTCAAATTCCTTGAGTTTCTAAAATTTATTTTCCAAATATAAAGATAAAAGCAATCATATTTTCTGATTAAAATAATTATCAATAAAGCCAATAAATATTTTACAATTATAGGTGAAAAAAAAAAGATTAATTGAGAATAGAGAAAAAGAAACGAGATAGTGAAATGTAAATGATTACTATGACTATATCAAAGAAATTGGAAAGGAAATTAAGAAAGAACTAAGAAGTGATTCAAAGAAAAAGTGATAATCATAATAAATTGTTAATAACATTGGCAATGTCATGAGGTGAAAGTGTGTGATGTAGGAAAGATACAAAAGAAAAGGTTAATATTTTGCTTAAGTAGCTTTAAAATAAGAAATAAAGATGCTCGCACGACAACCGTGCTTCAGGTTTTACATTTATAGAGATATGCATAGATCATAGATAGAAAGTAGGACAGGGAACAAAACCTCAAATCTGTGTTATTGGGGATCACAAACAAACTCACGGAAGCTCAAATTCATACTATTACCTATTACCCTTCTTGTTGAATACAGAGTTAAAGGGAATGAAAGTAGGATAATTTTCCATTTTTATATATTTACAAAATTATAAAAATTTAAAAAGAAATAAGGAATGATTGCATTACTACATGATACCTATCGTTTTTATTTCTCTCATTAGAACAATTTCTCAAATATGAAAAATGTTTACTTCCTTCGCTTTGTCAACAAACTCCTCAATCCAAACACATTTACACGATAATTGCACATACAAAATAAAATTATCTCAACATGCTGTTAGGTAATATCTCAATTTTGTCCATCTCAAAAAATTCTAGAAATAACAAAAGGAAACAAAAATTTGGAAAATCAACACCATTTGGTATGAATGAATTTTCATGAGAAAATGTTAATTTTTTCATAAGAGACTGATACGTTTGAGTGAATTGAAGAGAAAAGTTGCTTACAACTGCAACATAATCAAGAAAGAAAAGTTTTATACTTTTGTGTTTCACAAACTATTTCTTACTCCTTCCGCTCCAAACTATTACTCCCTACGTAAGTGTTGTCACAGGTTTTTTACACAGGTAAATAAAAAGTTAATCAATAAATGAAAAAAAAAAAATTTTACAACAACTTTCTAAAAAAATGTTATTAGGGATATAAATAGAGATAGATCATTAATGTTACAAAACTAAAATGACACTTAAATTATAATCTAATTTTTCTTTTTATACAACACTTATTATAGGACAGAAAGGAAGTCATGTTTTAACATTTTCTTTTCTAATCCAAAACTGGTGATGTTTTACAAATTTCAAGTCTCATTATATTTTTCTCCGCCTGTGCGCCTATTTAATAATCAAGTCTTATTCCATAACCACTTAGGTAAAACACACACACTCATATATATATATATATATATATAACATGTATGCTGAAAGAACTTTCACCATTCATCCCACAAATGTGACTGCAGAAGATCACGAGAGAGAAAAGTACCTCTTTAAAATGCAAGTGATGAGTCACATGCTTGGGAAATCCATTTTTTTCCATTTGTTGATAGTATTCTTCAACATAAGCCATCATCTCCTTCTCAGTTGGTAACAGGACTTTACCAGATAAAACACGCGCTACCCACTTGCATTGTAACTCCGTCATTTGGAAGATCACATCCTGATCACGGTAAATTATATGCATTTCAAGTTTTTCAACATACAAGCAATACAATTTGGAAAATTTTCAAAGGATAAAACTTAGATATATTATCATAGATACTATTAGTGATATTCTTCAAGCAGAACTAAATTTTACCTCAGTAAAATGTGTTAACGTTCAATGAAACTATTTATTACACATTACCGAGATAAAAAAATTTGTTCATTTATAGTACTATATTTAAGTTTTGTCCATTTTCAAACAGGCTGAAAGACAGCACAGACCATGTGCATTTCTTCCTAATAACACCTTGTATCATCGAAAAACAACTAAAACCAAATCATCAATTTGGCAGTATTGCAAGGAAACAAGTCAAGGAATTGATAAAAAGAATTTCAGGTCTGATGGTAGATAAAATGCATGGCTGCAAACCTGACAATGTTTTTTATTGTAATAAAATCTAGGTACATTTCATAAACTGCGAATTATATACAAAGCTTATTTTTTTAGGGCCGATGTTAATTATTCATCTAGTTCTTACAATTTAGGGGGGAAAGAAAGAGGAGAGAGAACAGTATGAGGTAGGTTAGGTTAGGTGATGTGATGGAATGATAAAGAGAAAAATGAGTTGTAAAAGCTTGTTGTATATGTATCATAAGTTCATAACAATTACCTTTTCTGGTATACCAATGAAAGAGAGCCAAGGAGCCAATGCAGGAGGAAAGACATGCTTGTATAATGGGCCAACACGATTATCCTCAATCGTTATTATTCCATTTGTTTCAAGAAATGGATAGTGATATTTGTAGCTGTCAAAATTAAGCCATAGAAAGTAAATTGATAAGTCACATTTATTTACTAGATAAATTGCTAACATAAAATAAGCAACCCACATCACAATATAGGCCCTATTTAGCTCTGTTTTTCATTCGAAAGCAAGAAAATAATAATACTATAAAGATGTTTTCGAGTTTCGAAACACCTACCTAGTTCAATAATTTATAGTTGAATAATTTAAAAAATTAAGAGCAGAAAACACTCTTGAAACATGTAATCTAAAAGAATGAAAAACTGCTCAAGAAAATGGAGAGCAAATAAACCCTTTATTCACGCACCAGTACAGATTTCTTAGAAATTGATGATAATACTAAATAAATATATTTATTATATGCATACCCAGTGCAGTAGAATATGGTATCTGCATACACAGAGGATCCATCGTCAAAAGCAACAAGACTATCTTCAGATACACATTTTACCTGTACAAACATGATCAATATGAAACATATTTCACAATATATCCACACAGTTTAGCGTCAAGTTAGACTAGTATATCTAGGGCAGGCCATAGCCCTAGGCTTCCCACTTGCTGAGGTGGAGAAGGTAGATAGCACAGCCTTACCACAGCATGTGGAGAGGCTGTTTTTAAGATTTGAACCAGTAACACCAAGGTTTTCCCTCTTGAGAAATGCTAGTGAGTAGTGACACACTTTAATACTTTGTTCTTAATACTCTCACTCTTATTAGTTGAAAATCACAAATTTTTGGGAGTCCTACCACTAAATCAGGAGAGATAACCCTTTAAATAAGATGTGACACAAAATTTATGATTTTCAATATATTTCAACCAATAATAGAGTGTTAGTGAGTGAGTGTTTTAGAGAGTGTTTTAGACAGTGTCTCTAGTACTCTTCTTCCCTCTTTAGCTTACACTGCTACGTAATTTAAAATTACATAAATTCAAAATTTTGAAGATGGGGGGTGGGCATTGCAGTCAGCAACAAGCAAAAGATAAAAAAATCACAAGAAACAATGACCAGACTTGATTAGCCAATCTAGATCAGTAGAAAGGATTTTAACAAGACACCAGTTTGTACAGATTAGTTGCATGACTTGACACAGGCAGTGGACAATGAAACCAATTGATTGGAATACTAGATATGCTAGTTTCTTTTGTTTGAAATGAATGCTTAAATACAGAGGCTTATTGTGAACCAAAAAATTAGTAATGGATTCAGTGGTACAAATCTTAAATCCCTCGTGTACTTAATGGTTTGTCTTTAAGAAGAAACAATGAAGAAATAGGGTGAGAAATAGAAAAGTGAGTGTTTGATAGAGAAAATGAGGGAAGAGAAGAGAAAAATAAAAAGTTGTGAAACCCATTGTTAGGATATAGAATAAAAGGAATTAGAATAGTTATTAGTTAGAAAGATATCATGAGCTAGGCCCATCACATCTATAAATAGGAGGTTACTTGGTAGAGAGGAGGATTCAGATTTGTTCGCATTTGTAAATTGAGCAATAGCTCTTTGTGAAAGGAGAAATCCTTTGTGAAGGGGAAACCCTTGGAGGAGATATTTCTCTCCTATTTTTTGTTCTTTTCAACATATTCAATAAAATCTTTTTTTCTTTCTCTTTCCTAATTCTTGGTTCCTAACAACTGGTCCAATCTGCTGGATCTTCGAGGAAGAGCCAATCTTACTAGAGATGGAGGAAGCACATATTTGGGCCAAGGGGAAGCTGCCAGTCTTTGTGGGTACAGACCCATTGGGGTGGATTGCTAAGGCTGAGAAATTCTTTGAAGTGCAAGAAATTCATTCTTTCCATAAGTTGCAATATGCTTTCATGAGCATGGAAGGAGTGACAATGCGGTGGTTCTACTTTTGGAGCCAAAAGAACCCAGATTCTGATTGGGAGTCATTCTCCACATCATTGATCAAAAGATTCTTGAAGCAAGAAACAAAAAGGGAAAAAGAAAGTTTGAAGATCAAGAATTGTGGTGACAAAAAATATGAGATTAAGAGACTCGATGAGGTTTCAGAGATCAAGAAACTCGTTAATGAGATCACAACAAAACTTGGGAAAAAAGATAAGTTTCAGGAGGATCTTGATCACCTATTGCAAAAACAGGACTTGACAGAAGACATTGGCACCAGCAACCCAGTTCTGGACAGATTCAAGAAAAATGCAGAAAATACCAAAGGCAGTGAGTCAGATTGCAGAGGTGACCTGGTGCGTTCTTGGGAAAAACAAGTGTAGTTACCCACCTTTGATGGAAGCAAAGAACAGAGAATTAACATGAAGGATAGCAGTCTAAGGTGTACCAGTAACCCGTGGCAATTCTTGAAGTTAGAAAACAGAAATAAAGAAGTTTCAATAATCAAGACCGACACTGTATGTGGTGGAGAAGACCATTTTCTAGGCGAGCCTTCATCATTAAACATTGTTGCATCTATGGATGACAATAGGCCAATGGAGCCTAGGCAAAAGGAAAGTACAAAGGCAGCAATTGTGATTCAAGTTATATGAAGTCCACCCTCATCTCCACTACCACCGAAGCCGCCAAACATGGGTTTGTATGCAGTGGCCAAAGGGTTTGTTGCTGATCCATCATGGGTAGACAACAAAGAGACACATTCTGTTAGAGTAAGTGATTTGGCTCCGGAGGAAGAGAAATAGGAAGGAGTAGATTTGGAATTCTACAAAGAGGTTCCAATTTCCCAAACCTATGAAAGAGTAGTTTTTTTAGGGGTGTTGTTTTATTTTAGTCCCAAGTACAGTGTGTTTTGATGTCATTTATTTTTTTGGGTTTTCAGATTCCAACCTTGAGGACAAGGTTGATTTTCAAGGGGGTGGTATTGTTAGGATATAGAATAAAGGGAACTAGAATAGTTATTAGTTAAAAAGATATCATGGGCTAGGCCCATCACATCTATAAATAGGAGATATTTCTCCCCTATTTTTTCGTTCTTTTCAACATATTCAATAAAATCTTTCTTTTCTCTCTTTCCTAATTCTTGGTTCCTAACACCCATCACTTTTTATTTCATTGCAGAACTGAGCAGAAATGCAGATGAAATCATGAACTGCATTGCATTTAATCAATTATATTCAATTTAATCGATTAAATCCTTTTTTTCACATTAAATCATTTTAACTGTTTTCTATTCAATAGATTGAAACTTGTATTTAATCTATTAAGTTTAAAAAAAAAAACATTAAAAATATTTTGTTTTTCTTTTTTCATTTCTTTCTTATTTCTACTCTATTTTTAACGATTTCTATTCACTATATTTCTCTCTTTCCTATTATCATTCATCCTATTTTTCACATATTTATTTCCTTCCTATCAAACACACCATAATAGCAGAAAAAATGTAAATAAGATGTTTTCTGATAAAAAAAGGCAACTATAGAAGCTATATAGGTAACTATTTAATATACCATTTTATGCAGCCATATGTTACTATGATTTGCCAACTTCATAACCTTTACATCTGGACTTCTGGTTGCTATATGAACCTCCTTAGCCACTTTTGCAATATCTCTTGAGATGTCAAAGGCACTAGCTGCAAATCCAATGACAATCACAACCTGTCAAAATGGAAATATCAGTATTTCGAAATTCTGAAGTAAAACTATTAGTGTTATATAATTATATTTCATATCCAATTGAATTGGATATTTTGTCATAGACGAGTTATGATATTACTTTACTTGTTGAGCATGGAAGTAAGAAATCAATTGAAATCAATATTGTATCGTCCAGCATGATCAAGCCAAACTGATCTCATATCCAGCTCTAATGACCCGAGCTGGGCACAAGCTCGCCCATACTGGGCCCCTAGCGTATCAGCACCACAAGATAGGTGAAACCCTAGGCACTTCATCCCCAATGACTACGAGAATATCTTCACTTATCAAAGATAATAACTACATGTAATCACCATAATATATCGCCAAGATATCGTACAACAATATCTCCACATATCATATCTTCCAAAATCAGATACCACATTATCAAGAACAATATCTATGCTTATCAACAAGAATATCTCCTAAAGTCATGCAACATTATCTCTAAGCCTAGAGATAAGATCAATCACCTATATATAGGATATCAGGTATCACTCTAACCTAATCTCATTTTTTTAACCTAGACACCCCTTTAACTTGAGCGTTAGAGTGTCTTTGCAGGTACTTCTCACCACCATAAACATTGGAGCAATCAGGATGTCATCCTTGTCATGGGAGTGCTTGCAAATTCCGATAAGAACATTTTCCGCCTACTATGGAACCGAAGTGAAGCTATCCTTCAACCATGTACAATTTCCACCCGAAACCAAACATGGAATATCAATGTAGTAGAAACCTCTGCAACAACCAGCAACCCTGGCTCAGTCCTAGTATTGCAACCTACACTTTCCATAGTTTCCACTACAGCCCCCATTACACCATTTGACGTCAAATTATCGCATTGCATGGAAACCATGCAAAAGCAAAATAAGAGCCCCAAACGATCCCCAACTGGCAGTGTCAAAAGAACAACCAACGTCGAGAAGACAACCATGATCAAAGCCATCCTGAAGGGGCAACCAGCCAACGAAACAACAACAAGGACAACAACAGACCCATCATATATGCCATTGTTGGTGGGTGCGCAAGTGGCAGGCCATCAGCTCAACACGCAAAAGGCACCTTCGAGCCATCAACAACATCATTGTCATGCACGATAAGACGTCCAAATCAATACCCCCATCACTTTTACAGATGAAGACTTCCTAGCATGGATCCAAATCAAAATGATCCCATGGTCATATCAACCCAAACCGACAACTGGAAGTGCAAAAAACCCTTGTGGATCAAGGTAGCTCATGGATGTCCTATACTAGAATACACTCCTCTAGACACAACTACCCTATGACGTCATACAACCATACAACAAACCCCTGTTGGGATTCACAAGTAGAGTAGCCAACATGAAAGGTTACGTCGAATTCCTAACCAAATTCGAGAGTGGCAAACACACCAAATCATTAGGCATAAAATACTTACTAGTAAGTGTAGCCACATCCTACAATTTCATCATAGGATGACCTATCCTAGACGTCCTAGGTGCCATGTTATCCACACCTCACCTAACAATGAAGTTCCCAACCAAGGATGGAAGCATAACTGTGATCCGGGAAGACCAGCACATAGCAAGACAATGCCATGCTAAGAGCCTCAAGATCACCCCTGGACAAGCAACAACCTCCTTAACCATTGAACATAGTGGTGCCAAACTTCTTGCCACCCATCGACGACCCCGACCTTGACTCGCGATCCGAATACAACGATAGACGAATAACACCTACAGTTGATTAGGAAGAGCCCCAAATCGACCCTCAGTCCAACCAAGTAACCAAAATTGGCAAACACCTGTCACCCAAGACCCGCTCGAGAATTACACATTCTCCTCAACAACATCGACCTATTCACTTGGAGCAATGCTAATATGCCAGGGATTGATCCCAACTTCATGTGCCACAAACTTTCCATTTGCCAAGAAGGCAAGTCAGTTGCTCAGAGAAGGTAGAAGTTGGGTGATGAGAGACACATTACAAATAAGCAAGAAGTAAGAAAGCTGGAAGTTGTTGGCTTCAACAGTAAAGGTACTCAACTTTCTGGCAATGAGAGAAGTCACATAAAGCACATGACTCGTTAATGTAGTGATGGTCAAAAAACCAAGTGGGAAGTGGCACATGTGCGTCAATTACCCCAACCTAAATAAGGTTTTCCCAAAGGATGCTTATCCACTCCCCAGCATTAACCACCTCATCATTGGTTCCTCGGGCCACCAACTACTTAGCTTTCTGAACACCTACTCCAAACAGTCAAATCATGATGTACCCCTTAAGGAGGAGAAAATAGCTTTCATTACAAACAATGCAAACTATTGCTATAGAGTGATGCCCTACGACCTTAAGAACGCAAGGGCGACATACTGGAGACTAATAGACAAGGTCTTTCAAGAGCAGATTGGTCATAACATGAAAGTCTACATCAACGACATGGCCTTTAAATCCACACATCTCGACCACCATGTCACCAACCTAGTTGAAATCCTAGCCAACTCAAAAAGCACAACATGTGCCTCAACTGTGAAAAGTGCACCTTTGGGGTTCATGGTGGAAAATTCCTAGGCTTCATGCTCAACCACATGGGCATTGAAGCCAATCCTAACAAATGTGAAGCCTTCATCAACATGAGAAGCCCACAAACAGTAAAGGAAGTTCAAAAACTGACTAGCCGACTAGTCTCACTGGCTCGCTTCCTCCTCAACATGGTTGAAAAGGCTAAGCACTTCTTCAACCTCTTAAAGAAACCAACAAAGTTCATTTGGAATGAAGCTTGTGAGGAGGCATTTAGACATTTCAAGACCTTCGTCACCACACCTTCCATACTATGCAAACCCACAAGAGGAATATCCCTTCTTTTATATCACACGACCACAGAAAGGGTGATTCACAGGCAACCCTAATTCAAGAAGAAAAACTATAGAGGCTAGTATAATTCATTAATAGAACTTTCCATGAAGTAGAAGTTAGATATCACCCAACGACTATGAGAATATCTTCAACGACTACGAGAATATCTCTACTTATCAAGGATAATATCTACATGCAATCACCATAATATATCTCCAAGATATCATACAACAATATCTACATATCATCTCTCCCAAAAATCAGGGACCACATTATCAAGAACAATATCTATGCTTATCAACAAGAATATCTCCTAAAATCATGCAACACTATCTCTAAGCCTAAAGATAATAAGATCAATCACCTACATTTGAAATACCAAGTATCACTCTAACCTAATCTCATTTTTTAATTTAGACTCCTATCTAACTTGAGCGTCACAATATCTTTACAGGTGCATCCCAACACCGTGGATATTGGAGCAATCAGGACATCGTCCTCGTCGTGGGAGCACTTGCAGATTCCGATAAAAACAAATATACATATAGTAATTAGTAAATGACCAAAGATATCAAATCAACAAGTACATTAGAGGTAATTGGGTTTTCTAATATTAACTTACTAGCAAATCAAGACACAAGCGAGGGAAAAATGTAACAACACACTAGTATGTAGCAGTTACCCATTCGATTACATTACACTATTTTGAATTAAAAATACGATTTAGAAGACATTTATAACAAAGAAAAAGCTTGCAAGTTTATAGCACCTGACCACGAAAAGGTTCTGGCACTCGATAATTGTGACTATGTATTTGGTATCCTGGCCACTTTTCAATCCCTGAAATACAATGCACAAACTGAGAAACCCATATATCGCACATAACAATACAAATTCATGCACTTACTCCTCAAAATCTGAGGTTTGCCGTTCAAGTATTACGACCCTCAATCCAAGGAAGGAACCTCAATAACCTTTTTATTTTAACTAATGAGAGAAAAGGCACTTAGAGCCTCAGTTTAACTACTCACATCAATAGACTAGTGTGTAGTTATTATACACTAAAAGACTTTTTTAATCTTTCATAAATTCCATTTAGCATTTTCTTATTTTTATTTAAAAAGTTAAAATTATCCAAAATAAAGTGACACACAAACAAATAATCACCTTTTATATATAGGTATGGATTTCAATTTTAAAAAAATTGCACTATCAATCATTCAGAAATCATGTTATAAAAAAAAGTAGTTATTATAAAAATCAAAAATCTTATCATTTACGTCAAATTGTGATTAGATGATTGTATGACATTTTACAGCATCAGTACATAGACTATATATTCTAACTTTATCATGAAAAAAATAATCTTATTGTCAAAAAAAATATAAATATCTAACATGATATATACACATAGAAATATATCTATTAAGAATAGTATTTTCACATAAGATTAAAGAAAACAATTAGGTTATACAATTATATATAAATAATCATCATCAAAAGTCTTGTAAAGTTATGTGTGAGTTATCCTCCTTTTATCTTTATTCATATCTCCGATCTTTTTATCTCTCAAGGTGTATACACCATAGGTGTCCAAGAATCTTGTAATACTTTTTTGAGTGAATTACATAAACATCATGTGAGATTACACAAATACCTGTATTTTTTCTACCGAAAAATAGTTTCCTTAATTATTTGAAAAAATATTACATTAACACCCCCAAAAACTTTACATTAATCTATTTAATTATTTGAAATGCATTACGTTACAAACACCTATCAGATAGGTTACCATAAATGTTTAAAAGGCAGGAAGTGTCAATGCAATTTTAGGATATCTCATGAAGTGTTGGTGTAATTTATTTTATTTATTATAAATTTAAATTTTTATTTAGTTTTTATAGTTTCATAAATTTTACTTTTTAATTTTTATAGTTATAACTTATAATCATTCTCTATTAATCCTTATACGTATTACTTTTGTTTTTGCATGATGATTAAAAAGTAAAATTTATGACATTAAGCAAACTAAAAGGACAAAAAAAATGGTATTAATAAAAACTAAAACACACATTTTAAATTATATTAATAAAAAATTTAAATATGTTATTAGTCACTTAAAAATTAAATGAATTTTGATTTTGGTTTTTATATATAAAAAAATCTTTGTTTTTAACCCCTCAAAAATTTGAAGCTTTTTTAAACTAGTTATGTGCTTATTAAAAGCTCAAGTGAACATCCATGGAATCCACAATTGCCTGGAATATATTTTGACGGTGTATGAAACCATTAAAAAAAATTATAAATTTTTAAAATAAATGTTATTTAAATACTTTAATAACGATCATTTTAAAGTTTATAGAATGAAAATTAAGAAAAACATTTTACCAGAATTCTCTACGCACCACTTACCGGGAATTGTGGGTAACCTGGGTTCAGTGAAGTGACCCGTGCACAGAACAACAGCCTGAAAATCTTCCCGAGTGAACGAGTCACGAGTCCTGGACTCAACCACCCACGAGTCCCCGACTCGCTCCACCCGAACCACCTCGCTCCCGAACCGGATCAACCCGCGAAGGGCGAACTCGTCCGCGAACCGGTTCAAAAACCAGAAGACCTCCTCGTGGCCCGGGAAAGTCCTCGTGTCCCCACCCTCGCGGTTGGGAAGCGGGTAATCGAGAAAGCCCATGAGTTGCCTCGGCAGGTTGGTGCGGAGGGAGCGGTAGAGGCTCGTGTGCACCACCTCGCGGCTCGGGTCCCAGCCCACAGGGTCGGAGTCCGTCCTCGGATCGTACCTCCACATGCCGCCGAGGTGGTCGCTTTTCTCGAATACGACGACGTTCAGGCCCTCGCCGCGGAGCTCGCGGGCTGCGGCGAGGCCCGCGACGCCGGCGCCGATGACGGCGACTCTGAGAGGGTGAGGCATTGGGATGGAGAAGGGTGCATGGGTGATCGGAGCGTAGCATTTACTTAAATAGAAAAGGAGGTTGAGAGTTTGAATTTGGAGAAGACGTGAAAGGAGAAGTTCAAAGTAATTTCGCTTCATGTGATGCACTCCATTATGATTTTTTACTCGGTTACAGTGTTTGGCAACTATAAATAAATTTAAATTATTTGAATCAATGGGTAAAAACTCAATTGTCACATCTCCCATAAATAAAATAATTAAATCTCATTTTTCAAAATTGATATGGTAGCATTCACTTAACTTAGATTCACATTTTAATTTTAAAATGTATCAGAATTATAAGAGAATTTGTTTTATATTATTGGTGTGAAGTATATACTTTTTTTTATAATTAACTTTTGTTAGAAAATTTAGCTGACAAACTTTGTGAGGTCTCTTTTTAATAATTTTTTTTTTCTTCACAACAATCAAATATGAGACCTTGTTTAAAGAAAATGAATTCAATATTACTCGAAACAACGACTTGTTAAAAACTTTTTAAATTTAATTACAATAGAGTGATATAAAATTTTTTATTTTATTATTTTTCTCATATTTTTATAAATTTTATCTTTTAATGTTTATAATTAAAAATGTTATATTTTAGTTTTTATATATACTATTTTCATATCTTTTTACTCTTTGTAATATAAGAACTAAAAGATAAAATTTATGAAATTCTATTTTTTAATGCTTAAATTAATAGATAGAAAATGTCTATCTAATTATTATTAAATATTAGGAGTGTTCAAAATCAAACTAACTTAAACAAAAAATTATAAATATTAATAAGTAAATTTTATACAATAATATTTAATGTATTTATTAACAAAATTTGAGCAAAGAAAATAAAATAATTTTTTAAAAAATTATAAAGACTAAAAAAATTAATTTTAAATTTAAGAAATTAAAAATAAATTTATTTTAAATTTATAAAACTAAAAACATATTTAATTCTACATATTAATAGTCTTCACTACCTTTATCAATTTACTAATTATTTTCTCCCTCCTGAATATTAGTCGAAGTTGTTTTCTTTGAAATAGGAAGTCACGGGCAAAGATCTTTGTCTCCACTATCACACAGTTTTGTCCAAAATGGTTTAATCTTTCATATTATTTTACATATCACGTTAAATCATTCTAATAAACTCAAACATTTTTTATGTCTAGATATTCCGAACTAGGGATGGTAATGAGGTTATATGAAAGCGGTAATAGTAAATCTGTCTTGCCCTGATAGATGAAAATTAGTCTCATACTTACCTCATATTCGCGCGAGTATCAATTAAGCGAGTATCCATGAATTTCTTGAATATCCGCGGATATCCATGGATATTTATAATTTTTTTAAGAAATTAAAAAAATTATATTACAAATAATTTTAAGCTTTATATTTAATGTCATTGAAATATTAAAAATAAAAATTCAATGTTAATTTTAAACTTGTATTTAACGTTAATTTTGTTGAAATAATAAGAAAAATGCAAAATAATCAATAACTTAAAATACATCAATCTCACAAGTAAGTTAAAGTCTCATCAGAAAGCTACAATAATTCAATCTCATAATTTCAAACGAAAGTAAACAACTTAAAATACATAAATTTTATTGGTCCAATCAAAGATAGAAAATTAATCAAATTACATCCAATATAATTCTATAACATGCTTAACACATGTTGGTAACTTCATCAACCTCACTTTTGTAAGAAAAAAAGATGAGAGAATGTAGTTTTAGTTAGGGTTATGTGGTGCAAGGATAATTAGGATATTTAAGAAATATTATTAAACGGGTACCTGCGAGTATGGATATCATCATACCCGCCCCGCCCCGTTTATAAATGTGTAAAAAATTATCCGTCCCCATTATCTGCAGGTACCTAATTAATCTATCCATTTATTATCCGTAACGAATTTTACCCGCAAATACGAGTATTTTTGTCATCCTTGTTCCGAACTTGCAACTGTGACACTAACTTACCAAAGATCAATATCAATTGAAATTAACCAATGAGTCTTGAAAAATAAAGATTTGATTTTTTTTTATATATTTGTTTTTAATATTTTTTAATAATTATATAACTGAAAACTATTATGAATAATTTATGAAATATTTTTTTGTGTACAAAATTCAAATATGAGACCTTATTTAAAAGAAATGAATTCAATATTACTCGACACAACTACTTGTTAGAAATTTTTTGAACTTAATTACAATAGAGTGATATAAAACTTTTTATTTGATTATTTTTCTTATATTTTCATAAATTTTATTTTTTAATGTTTATAATTAAAAATGTTCTATTTTAATTTTTATATATACTATTTTCATATCTTTTTACTCTTTGTAATATAGGAACTAAAAGATAAAATTTATGAAATTCTATTTTTTAATGCTTAAATTAATAGATAGAAAATGTCACTCTAATTATTATTAAATATTAAGGGTGTTCAAAATTAAACCAATCCAAACAAAAAATTACAAATATTAGTATGTAGATGTTATGCAATAATATTTAATATATTTATTAACGAAATTTGAGCAAAGAAAATAAAATAAGATTTTTTTTTAAAAATTATAAAGACAAAAAATTAATTTTAAATTTAAAAAATTAATATTAAATTTATTCTAAATTTATGAAACTAAAAATATATTTAATTTTACGTATTAATAGTTTTCACTATCTTTATCAATTTACTAATTATTTTCTCCCTCCAGAATATTAGTCAAAGCTGTTTTCTTTGAAATAGGAAGTCACGGGCAAAGATCTTTGTCTCCACTATCACACAGTTTCGTCCAAAATGGTTTAATCTTTCATATTATTTTACATATCACGTGAAATGATTCTAATTAATAAACTCAACATTTTTTATGTCTAGATGTTCCGAACTTGCAACTGTGGCACTAACTTACCAAAGATCAATATCAATTGAAATTAACCAATGAGTCTTGAAAAATAAAGATTTGATTTTATATATATATATATATATATCAATCATTCATCATCTTCACATCTCAATTCACATTTAACATATCTCATTTCACATTCATATCATATATATATATATATATATATGTTTTTAATATTTTTTAATAATTATATAAGTAAAAACTATTATGAATCATTTATGATATAATATTATATATTATTAGTTAATTTAGTCTCCTTAAGAGGAGTTTTATTCCCGGAGCGAACCCTTGTATAATGCCATTGTTTTCCGGAAAATAATTAATAGAATCCTAAAATAATTGAACACTGAAATTTGCATGATTATACTAATTTTCTTTATTTTTAATAGAATTAATTTTTTCATTTTGTTTCTCTATTTTTATGCTTTGCTTTGATATAAGTCTTTACAATCACTTTAGGGATTTTCTAAAGGTAAAGACTATTAATTACCTTGCATAAGGGTTATTAACAATTTAAAAGTAAAATTGGCAGCAAAGATTTAGAATTTAAGCAACTTGAAGGGATCAAGGTCAATGAATCACAACTCTAGGTTTTTACCTCTAAATCTTAATAACATTCTTTTTCTTTATTTATAATTCTTTGCTTTGCAAAATTTCCATCACATACTCAATCCCAAGTTTATTTCTTCGAACTGTTAAAAGTTGTAATTAAGTCAATAATTGTTTGAACCTAGTTGGGTGTACTAGTTATTTGCATGGATGCCCAAAACTATTGCATGAAAATTCTAGGGTAGAAGATTTATGTGTTGCATGTTGTGTGTAACAATATGGCAACCTGTCGGGTTGTTGCAATAAATCATATGAATATCCCTTGAATTTGTACCGTGTTTAGAAGTGTGAATACAATTATTTAGGAAGTCACAATTTGGCACACTATAAAATAAAAGGCAAGGAAAATAGGTAGGCGTAAGGGAATGACAAGTAGATGGATATTTGAATAGTCAAGAGTAACTCTCTTGAATTAGGGTATTAATAGGCCAACTTAAATCTTTGATACGTGTTCAACATTTCCCAAATTGGTGTGGTGTGGGCAAGAGTGGTCCAAGGCTAAAAACTGATCGTTTTCTCGAGAGAAAAAAATTATATGATGTGTACCAATGTTTTGTGAGAAAGATATATAATTGCCTAACTTAAGGTTCAAATCATGATAACTTAGGTCATGCCTCGGGATCTCTTGTGCATATTTGTTTGAAACTTATGTGTTAGAGGTTTTATTTTCAAAGCCTAATAAGGAAATGAATAAGGCTTTATGAAACCTCATTGCCTTATTGTTTCATTTTTGTTATGTACTCACGGTTCAGATAGATAGACCACTTTTATGGGATAAGGAACTTGCAAATAGGTTATACTTTGATGGGGTGCTTGGAGTTTCATTGCGGATATCAAATTCTTTACTTACTAGGATCTAGTTACCTTCTCTTTTATGTCACTTATTCCTAAGTTTTAGCTCCCACTTTAATAGATGACACTTCATTTTACTATATCTAATACTACTCTCGACGATTATTTTAGAGCACCACCACCTTTACTAGCAAATGATGATATGGATGATGCTCAATAGCTTGACCATCGTATGAATGATGTATGATAGCGTTGCCGAGTCATTATTAAACAAAACTAGGTTTCTAAAAAATTTTGTAATATAGAGAACTAACCTAGGTCATCTCTCAAGGACACAAGTTCATTCTATTTCCGTTTTTTTATCATGCAATTGAGTTAGGTTAGGTTTGGAGAAATTTTATTTCAAACAAATTATAAACAACAATATAGAAAAGAGAAGATATAATCTCTACACAGAATTTCAATATTATCAAATATTAGTTCAATATTGTTTCAATTTCCACGGTGTAATTTTCATTGTTCACAACAAATATGAATTCTTAACCAACCTAATTTAATTCGAAATTAATTAATACAGAAATCTAAATCTATTTTGTGAATTCCATTGAAATAAGAATTGCAATCGCAAACTCAAGGTTTCAACAAAATTCAAGAACGGTAATCGAATTGAATTGGTTGATTTAGGTTATTTCAAATATGAAATTGCATCTTCTCATTTTTGTTTATGATTCAAAATGAAAATTAAATATCATGAAAAATGAAATTATCCTAAACAGAAAAGAGAAGAGGAAGAGAGAATTCATTCAGTAAAAAATTAGGAACTCAAATTTGCCGTAGTTCTTGAAACCCTAAACCGATTGATGAATTAGCCTTGCCTCATAATCATGTTGCTTCAGTCAATTCCAGTAGAAAAGAGATAGATTTTGTGTGTGAGAGAGAAAAAAAAAAACAAAGAGAAGAGAAAAGAGAATTTAAGAGAAACTTCTTGAGTAAGAAATTCCAAATCTGAAAAATGAGAGTACAAGTTAAATGCAAAGAGTCATTACATGAATTTAAAGACAAAGTAATGGGCCTAAACTAAGGATCCAGCCCACTAATTACACTCCTAAAACCCTAAACCGATTGATGAATTAGTCTTGCCTCATAATCATGTTGCTTCAACCAATTCCAGTAGAGAAGAGAGAAATTTTGTGTGAGAGAGAGAAAAAAAAAAGCGAAGAGAAGAGAAAAGAGAATTTAAGAGAAACTTCTTGAGTAAGAAATCCTAAATTTGAAAACTGAGAGTACAAGTTAAATGCAAAAATTCATTACATGAATTTAAAGACAAAGTAATGGGCCTAAACTAAGGGTCCATCCCATTAATTACACTCCTAAAACCTAATTAACTACAACTAAACAGTTTCAAGACAAGTTGAAAATTTCAGTGCAGGGCCGCGAGCTTGAGGCATGATGTTGGGTCTAAAAACGTCTGAACTGATTTTTTCTCTCAAAGAAGAAGTTGTAGATCTCCCTCTTATCTTTCCAGAGACACCAATTTTTCTCAATTCCGAGTTGTATAGCTCCATATATGGGTTGCATAAGAAACTATGTCAAAAGAGAAAATTATTACAGAAATTTAGTAAAATTTACAACTAAGTCCTAAATGACTCACTAACACAAATCTAAACTAATATATGAATATATGACACTAAAAGAAATCAAATAAGGCAAAAACATATAAAGAAAGATATACTAAAATATGACTATCAATGTAATAGACTTAGGCACTAGAATGATCCCTTACTATGAGCCTGGTATAGTTAATTGATGGCTTTACACTCCATCTGGTTCTAACAACTTTGATAGTGTTCAACAGCTATCCAACAAACATACACTTAAGCATGAAAATGAGGAGATGGTGGATTTAAAGGATTCTTGGTGACGATCTACATTTACTGACTTTTTATAGATCAACAGGTTTGGATTAGGTTTACTATATTATTGTCCTAACTTAAGAAACTTTTTGTTGTATATATTGGGAGGGTAGCTAAGTTGAGTTGTTTATTTTGTAAGTATTTAATGATAAATATGCTATGTTATGAAATATATATCAACTTTACCGATAACTAACCTCTATCAAATAACCTGATTAGATATCCAATTACCTTACTTAAAAGAATCGAATCCAATACGACTCAAACTAATGACTTGTTAGTATGAGTCCTTATATATAAATATTTTAAAAATTTATAGTATAAAATTAAATGCATGACTTAATTAAAAATAACAGGTTTTATTATATTAAACAAATAACATAATGAAATAACAAACCTTAAAAAACTAAACTATATTTTTCATTCAACTTACTTCTATACTATCGTTTATTATAAGGTGTTAAAAATAACTACGAGGACCAAAAGTGATGTTTTTCCAAATTAAAAAGAATCAAAATAGGACAAAAATTTTAAAAGACTAAATCTAAACTTGAAATATTATATAGAGAGCAAGAACACATTTTAATCTTTTTATGAATATAATACATAAAAAGCTAATAATAAAAAGAATTTATAATCATATCATAATTTATATTTAGAAATTAAAAAGATATATAAATAATAATTTTATGGTTAAAACATATTTTTAGTTTCTATAAAGTGAGAGAATTTGATTTTGATCCTTATATATACATATATTATTTTTCATCCCTAAAAATTTGAAACTATATTTTTAGTTCATATTATTATGTAAACATTTTTAACTACTTATATATTTATTATATAGTTAAGTGATCATCTTAACTACTACTATAACTGCTTGTAATAACATGTCAACATGTCACGTTTCTAAAAAATATTATATATTCTTGTAATCTATGTTATTTATCCATCTTAAAATGAACACTAAGGACTAAAACAATAAAGTTAGATTTTAAAAGGATGAAAACTAAATAAAAATATTTTATAGAGACCAAAATTAAAATTTATTCATTTTACATGGATTAAAAATAATGTTTATTTATAATTATAAGAAAAAAATTATAAGGATAAAAATGAAAACATGTTCATTTTATATAAATTAAAAACATATTTAAGTTTAATTTATTTTTGAAAGTAATGTAAAAAATTTCACAACTATATATATATATTTAAATTTGGATCCCTTTTAGTCATGGGCCTAAGACAGTCACACCTCTAGATGATGTCCAGGGACAGCCTTGGTGGAACAATTAACTCTTAGCACAATGCGCATACAAGGCATCCTAGGATTACATGAAAAACACAAATTAGAACATAATGGATAAGCAACACATCAACTCTCACTAGGAAGAAAATCCACCCGGAGCTAATCGAGGTTTCCTACCCGGGCATGATTATGACTTTATCACATGTGTTGACAGGAAATTCTCTATTATTAAAAACCCCAAGGCCAAGATAAGAGATCAAAGAGACCCTCTTAACTGGATTTGCAGATCAATATCTCCAACAAAAGATGCATAGATGCATGAACTCTATCATTCAATACAATGCATAACTGTCAAATGACTAAGCAATACTTGAACTTAATGCTTACTAAACAAAGTCTAGACTTCACCAATGATTAAGCAAAGCTTAGATTTTATACACAACTAAGCATAACTTAGACTTACCTCAACACAAATAGCGACACACATCACATTCCTAAGCCCTCTACTATCCATTTCTTACAACTTTCTACTCGTTAATAATTCTCAAGATCAGAGCACCTTTATAAGGGAACAACTCACAAATTTGTAACATAAAGATTCATTAAAAAAAGGTTTTTATAAGAAAAATAATTTAAACAAACAAACCTTTCTCTAATTTTCAATAAAAAGTACAAGGTATTACTATTCCTCCCATTCACACATACAACCAACTTGTATATAAATTTATCAAGTGTCAACTTGGTTGACACTGAAATTCTTTTTGCAAAGTTGGGGCATTTTTTTGGTTTTTATCAAAATTACAATAACGACGCCAAGATTTAAATCTAGAATCCTTTGCATATTACTCCAATCTCCCCTCCCACTAGGTAGACACCAGTGGTTCATGCTTCAATTTTAAAGGGGACGTTGTGAAAGTGCATAAACATATTCTGTACATGTTTAGGAAATCATGATTCAGATTATTTGTGGGTTTGGGGAGGGGAGAATATTTGGAAATAATTTTAGCATGTTGTTTCTTCCTTAAACTTTCAGAATTTGTATGTATACTGCCTTTTGGCCTGTAGAAAATAGAAAGTAATGATATCAAGTAGATTTGTACAATCAACATAGGCAATTTGATGGTTCAACAATGGATTCATCCCCAGTTAGATAAATTGCTTTCAACTTTTCCTTTGACGTTTCTCCGAATCCAAAACCTCACTACCAACCCTTTTACTTCTATTATTTTCTTGTACATTTCTGGTCTTCGTAAATAAGATATCCTCCATTCTACTATATTCCCTGTATACGTGTATTCCACACCATTTCACAATGGCCATCCTTCTTGCTCCATCCTCAACTCGTATGCATGAATTGTGTTCCATTTGACAATCACAGTATGAAATCTTCACATGATTCCAATCACTCTCCACAAATGTCTGTCTGAGATCTTCACTACGAATATGGGCAGTTAGATCAAATAGCCACACATGATCTGTCTCAATTGACCAACTGTAACAACGTTGAGAGAAAATCCTTTTGTGCCCGTTGATGACTACACACAATCCAACTTTAAAATGAAAAGGTGGATTTTCCAATATCCCAAAAGAAACACACAAGCAAATCCCTGGGAATCTCCCACGACCCCAGAAAGTTATGGATCTTTCGCTGCTACAGTGATCAAACCATCTTGGAATCCTTGACCCTGGAAGAATTACAGTTTTCTGCCCAGTTGCCTGAAGTGCCTGATCACACAAAAATTTTGTAACAGCAAAAAAATATTACATTAGTTAATACAAGAAAATTCAAACAGGAAAAATCAAAGAAGAAAATTGAAACCTGGCTCAATAGTACACTTGATGACTGGGATGTCAATGATGTGCAGTTCAATGCATCTATGTCTTGTAATTTTGGGGGAATTTCTAAAATGTCTTTAAGCTGCTTGCAATTGTTTAGAAGAAGAGTCTTCAAATGGATACATTCTTTAATGCATGCTGGAAGAGCTGTTAAATTATTGTAAGATATGTCCAAATGTATAACGTTGGCAAAACCACTAAGACAAGTAACAAGATGTTCAGTTGTTAAGTTGCAAGAGCTCAGATATAGATAAACATTGTTTGGAGAAACAGTTATTGTCAGTTGTCCATGATCTTCACACTCAATAGAAATGTCAAACCTTCTACATGAATCAGCTTGAATTTCCTTAAGTCTTGGTAGACTAAAAATGCTACTGGGTAACTTATCAAGTCTGGTACATACCATTAGATTTAAAGATTCAAGCCCTCTAAGATTTCCAATAGAATATGGTAATTCCTCTATGGCAGTTTGACACAAGTTGAGATATTTCAAATTTTCTATCTCACACAATATTTCTGGAAACCTCACTAGTCTTGAGCACTCACCAAAAGAGAGCTCTCTGAGAGATACCAACTTGAATGCTAATGGAATTGTTTTTAGACTAGTGCATCCTGTTGCAGTCAGCTCTTCAAGATTACCAAGAAATCCAACAGAATCATGAACCTTAACCAAATTTATACAATTATCTAGATACAATATCCTCAAGTGTGGAATTTCAGAAATGTCAGGTACTTCTGACAAAAATTCACAATCAGTGAAATCCATTTTAATCAAATATGCCATATTCTGCAAACAGAAGAGTGCAATAGTTACACAATATACTAGAGACTATTATTTTAGGCCAAAGGAACAAATTCACACACATACATACCTTGAACTTGTCCAAAATGAGACACTCAGAAGGCAATTTAAAAAAATCAGGTGGTAAACACCCTGAAGGATATCCACTCCATAACAGAACTCTTAAGCTATTTGGGAGATGTTGGGGGACCCCATGATATATGTCATCCTTAAGAATTAGTATTCTCAGGCTTTTCATATTTTTGAAGGCTCTGTCGCTCAACTTTAGTACATCATTTCCTTGGGGTATGTCAGCCAACATCATAACTTCTATTGTATCCGTTCCCTTTCAAAGCAAGAATAAGTTAAATAGTAAATGCAACTTTATATGTCAAATTTCAAAGAGAAGAACGTATAAATGTAAATTCAAATTGTAAAGCAAAAAGCATACCAGTATATGCTAACATAATAAATGTTAAATTGGAGGCAACATAAAGGCTTGTTTCTCATATAATCAGTTAAATCTAAAATACATAAAATCAATGAATATAGCTCTTACCTCATTTTCATTTAAAACTTGAAGAACATCTTGAGGAAACCATAATCTACTTCGATATCCAGGATGCAGGGGTGATTCCTGTTGCACTATTTTCCTGGCCATGTCTATCATATGGTCATGCATAATCAACCTGCCACCGGGAGCAATGGATAGGAGAGATCTTTCACTAAGTTTGCTAATACTATATTCTGGATAGAAACCACAAGCTGATAGTATTTCCTCAACATATGATAGTGGCTCTCCAACGAAGAAACATGCAATGTCAAGGAAAATGCTCCTGTCACATTCACTCAAACTATCATAACTCACACGAAGTATACTCTGAACTTCTCCATCACAAACTCCTTCATATCTGTCTAGTGTAATCTCCAATTCATCCAATGATGTTTCTGACAAATCAGAACCAATAACCTTCATTTTTTCTGACAAAGCAGAACCAATATCCTTCAAAAGCAATGGAAGGCCATGGGAACAGTGAATTGCACGTTCCAAAAACGAATTACAATAATCAGTTATAGGTCCCTTGAATACCATGGAACTTAGAAGTTGCTTAGCTTCATGATTTTCTAATTTAGGTACATCATATATATTTTCAACTCCATGAACAGCTAGAACATCTTTGTACCTGCTAATTATGATAATTCTACTGCCCAAACCAAACCAATTGCATTCTCCTGCTAAATACTCCAATTGCTCAGGCTCGTCCACGTTATCAAGTATCAAAAGAACCCTTTTGCCTTGCAACTTCCTAATTAGAATTGAAATTCCTTTGTTCTCATTTACCACCTTGATATTCTCACCAGCTATTTCGGAAAGAATTTTCTCTTGGAGATGTGCTAACCCATATTTGGCTGAATTTCCTCCAACATCACTAAGAAAGCATGAACCTTCAAATTGCTGGCAGATGGAATCATACAAAGCTTGAGCCAGAGTGGTTTTACCTATTCCACTAACTCCACATATTCCGACCATGATCACAGTGGGAGCAGAGAGTTGCAAACGGAATATTATTTTAGGTACACGTGACTCGAGTCCAACTAGATATTTATCAATAGGTATAAGATTGCGCTTTGACATGTCCACCATTTCAACAATCCGTCTGATAAATTCATATTCATACTCTTTTCTGTGAAATTACAAAAATGTAGATACTCAAATAAAATCCATCTTGAATTTCATTTATTACAAATAAAGAAAGAAGCTAGATAGACAATTGTTGAAAAGATAAAACGTTACTTCATTTATGGTATGGCTGGAAGCTTTTAAGTAGGGGATAAAGAAGGAAAGGAAGGAGTAAGAGTTACTTCCTTAATTATGTTTAGATGTTAAGTTTTTTTGTCCATCCACAGGTATCCCCAATTAACTGCCATAGACTAATTTCACTAGCTATATTGTAACAATCGTTGGTCCAAAAAAACTTTTGCACAACGGGAATCAAACATGGAATTTCCTGCTAAATGAATCGTCCCAACATCATGTGAGCGCGCATTACCTAGCTACTATAGGGTTTGTTAGATGTTAATTGAATACAAATCAATTCTCCTGTATACGCAACTATGATCACAAGTGGTGTATTTCATTTTTCATCTTCATTGATGTTACACAAAACAATAAGTCAATAACAAAATTTATATACTTTGTTCGGATAAACATCACTAAAAACATTTTTAGAAAAAGAAAATAGAAAGAAAAAATGAAATAAACTTTTTCATATGTTAAAATCAACTTATACATAAATTAATTTGTAATTTTTTTGTTGTTGGAAAAGTTATACCCGAGAGTTTTGTTGGAAAAGTTATACCCGAGAGTTTTGATGTTTCCACAAAAAACTGTTTTATTTTTTCTTTGATAAGTATTTTTGGAGAAGTTTCTCAAGTGTAGTGACTAGTGAGTACATAAATCAGAAATCAGCTCGGTTAAAGACTAAAGTTTAAGAAAATAAATAATTAAGAAGAAAAAAGAAATGGGACAAGAGAGGTATAGTTGTACCCTTCTTTAAAATGCCACCCTGCAAGATTGGCAGCTTCATGCAAAGCCAGGCTCCAGTTTTGCACTTTCTGTTTGTCATGCATAGCCAATTGTTGGCCATAACATTCCCTCTGATGCCGCACCTCTGAAGGATCCACGTTGTAAAACAGTGGATAAACTACAAGTTCCTTGGTTCTCTTACAATTGAGGATTTTGACAAGCTCTTCAAGGCACCATGTTGAGGATGCATAGGTTTTGGAGAACACAATGATGGCCATCCTAGACTCTTCAATGGCATTGAAAATGGCAGGTGAAATTTGTTCCCCTTTCTCAAGCCCTTCATCATCCATGAAAGCCTTGATCCCCCTTTGGATTAAAGCACTGTAGAGATGACCAGTGAAACCAAAGCGGGTATCCTCTCCTCTAAAACTGAGGAAAACATCATAGGTCCACATACTCATGGAATCTTTGTCAATGTTTTAACAAAACCTCAACTGCACAAGGCTTTAAACGATCATGTACTATATAGCACTTGGCAAATGACACTTTTTGTCTTGTACTCCTTCAACATATAAATTCACCCATCCATGAGAATAAAGTAGGCTGCAAAAAATTAAAAAAGGAAAAAAAAGGTATCCACTAGGATAGGCATTGGAGAAGATGGATGCATAACGTCATCAATTTTAACCCCATTACATTCATCGTAAACAAAAAACAATCACCTAAATATTAAATATACTTTTTAACTCATGTATATTAAAAGGCAATCACTCTAAGGAACTATTTTTTTTTTTTTGACAAAAAGTTATTTTAAAGATTCTATTTTAATTTTTGTTATCTAATTCAATTTTTTATTTATCATATTTATTTATAAATTAAATTATAATATTTTAAAATAAATTATCAATAATTAAAATAATTTTTCTATCATAATATAAATTATTTATCTTAAATATAAAATTTTATTTATGTATTTAATAATATCTTTCTAACAAATTTTAAATATAATTTATATATTCATATAAAAAATTATATATATAATTTACCATAATTTTTATTATATATAATAAATATTTAATATACAAAATGTACATATTAAAAAATTATTTTATTATAAATTTTAATTATATATAATAAATATGTTTATGTATCACATCAATTAAAATATTAGTTAATATATAAATACTTTTTATTATAAACTCAACCATAAAACAACTAATTAAAGTAAAACAAATTACGCCTATTTATTCACATGTTCACTTGTTAGAACTTAATTAAAACATTGTATAAAGTACTGAATTTTCCACATTTTCACTACTAGATCGAATTTAGTAAGGAGATGATACTTCACAAAGATAAATCAAATTTTCAGTAAAGATTTTATTATCTATAAAATAGGTGATATTTCATACAAATAACGTGTAGTTAAAGTAAAACATGACGAGGTACACCTTATTAAAAAATAGTTAAATGGTTGTTAGAAATATGCCTAAATATCTTTAAGAGAATAAATTAACTTTTATAAGAATATTTTATTTATATTTTAAATATTTAGATTTAATTTATTTTGATTATTTTATGATTTGTTTTCTTGTTTTGAGAATAAGATAATATCAATATTTGATTTTGTATAACAAATTTTATCTATAAATAGAGACCTCATAAATAAAATTAGATTATGCTTCTCTGATAAAAAATAACTCTTATAAAATATCCTCTCAGAAAAATACCATAAAATAACCCCATCATTAGTAGCAGAGCTAAGGTTACGACCTTTGGAGATGGAAGCAGAAATAAACTTTTCGCAAATTTCCCCACCTATTTTTGATGGAAAAAGTTATGATCTTTAGGCAGTGAGAATGGAGGCATACCTAGATGTTTAGATCTTTGGGAAGTCATAAAAGAAGATTATGATCTTTCTGCGTTACCAAACAATCCTACCGTAGCCCAAATAAAAGTTCACGAGGAAAAGAAAATCAAGATGGCAAAGGCAAAATGTTGTCTCTTTGCCTGTGTTTCACAAAATGTTTTCACCAGGATCATGACTCTCAAATTGGCAAAAGCAATTTGGGATTATCTAAAGGAAGAATATGTTGGAGATGAAAGGATTCGAAACATGCAAGTATTAAATTTAATGAGAGAATTTGAGATATAAAGAATGAAGGAGATTGAGACAATCAAACGATACTCAGACAAATTACTTGGCATTGCTAATAAGGTACGGTTACTAGGAACACAATTTCTTGCTTCTATAATTGTTGAAAAAAATCTAGTAACTATACCTGAAAGATATGAAGCTTCAATAACAACCTTGGAGAACACAAAGGATCTGAGTAAGATCACTTTAGCAGAGGTGTTACATGTATTGCAAGCATTAGAACAAAAGAGGCTTATGAGAGAAGAAGAATCTATGAAGGGTGTATATTTAGTCAAATGAAAGAACAATGGTGCCAAAAACAAGAAGAAGGAATTGTTCCAAGATAACAGTCAAAATAATAGCACTAAAATTTTTCCACCATGTCCTTATTGCAAAAAGACTAATCATCCATAACAGAGATGTTGGTGGAGACCCTGATTCAAAATGTGACAAGTGCAGACAATTAAAACACCAAAAATATGTATGCAAATCTCATGAGCAACAAGAAGAAGCCAACATTGTTGAAGATCAACAAGAAGAGGAAGAAGAACAACTACTTTCAATGTCATGCTTTATGAAAAAACCCTCAAAAGCTTGAATTATTGATAGTGGTTGTACAAACCATATGACTTATGACCGAGAACTCTTCAAAGAACTCAACAAAACTGATATCTCTAAAGTCCAAATGGGGAATGGAGCACACCTTACAGTAAAAGGCAAAGGAACATTGATTATTCAAAGTCATTTAGGTTTGAAATGAATATCTAATGTTTTATACGTTTCGGATATTAATCAAAATTTATTGAGTGTTACTCAGTTGTTGGGAAAAGGCTATAAAGTGTTATTTGAAGATAATAATTGTGTGATTAAAGATGTAAACAAAAAGTGTTCAATGTTCATATAAAAGGCAAGATTTTTACTTTAAATTTGGAGAAGGAGGAGCCACTTATAAATGAAGATAGAAGAGAAGAGCATAAAGATACATGTCTTCAAAAGAAGTTTGATGATCAAGAGGAGAATGAAGATGATGAAAAACCACCTTCAAAAGAGAAGATCAAGACAAATGCTAAAGTGGTTCCACTAAAAAAGAATTGCAACAAAAATCACAAAAAGAAGAAACTGATTAAAAAGACAAAAGACAGATTTTGAAATTCAAATTTAAATTAGTTGATAAAGATATTCAGTCAAGGAGGAGTGTTGAAAATATGCCTAAATATCTTTAGAAGAATAAATTAATTTTTTATAAGAATATTTTTATTTATATTTCAAATTGTTAGATTTAATCTGTTTTGATTATTTTATGATTTATTTCCTTGTTTTTAGAATAAGATAATATTAATATTTGATTTTGCATAACAAATTTTCTCTATAAATAAAGAACTCATAAGTAAAATTCGATTATGTTCCTTTGATAAAAAATAACTATTATAAAATATCCTCTCAAAAAAATACCATAAAATAACTTCATCAATGGTCTAGTTCATTTTCATTTAATTTTTTAAAAAACTAAACAGTGCACAGCCACACCTGTAATCCAAAACCATGAATGCTCATTTTTTGTTCTTAAGAAATCATTGTTTTTTTCTATTTATTATTTATTGAAATCACTTCATGAAGGTCTTTATCTCCCACAAACAAAAAAAATCATCATTCCTAGTGTATTAACTCGTGTTTGCACAAGAGTATTAAGTTTACAATCTTTGATATTTAAAAAGTTATGATTTTTAATGTATTTTTAATTATTATATTTTGATATGATATATATATTTAAAATATAAAAATATATTTACATAATTTTCTATTCACACATGTCTTTATCATTTATAAATTATATAAACATGTCTTTCTATTTTTTTAAAATGCACTTACATTTATATAATATATATATATATATATGCATATTTTAAGTCTTATTTTTGCATGTAATTAAATATAAATTAGTTGCATGAGAAAAAAATATCTTAAAAACTTAATGAAATATTTGTTGAATGAGAAGACGTTGTAAAAGAAAAATTTATCCATATTGAAATTATTATTATTATTATTATTATAATAATAATAATAATAATAATAATATCTATACTTTAAAAGTAAGTCTACTTAAACCTTTTTTACTCAATAATTCATTGTAAAGTCAAAAGACGATTATGAATATCTTGAACTTAGAGTTTTAATGCTAATAAACAAAACATTTTTATAAAAAGAAAATGTCTACAAAAATATCTTTTAAAAATATCTTTGAAAAACTTATCAAATGAAGTGTAAGACATAGATCGTCTATAAGACGATGTTAATCAAATGATGTATACAATTTGTCTCATATATATTAAATGTTTATTATTTATCGAGACTAACAATAAAGGCTTTTGAATGCTTCATTCCTTAACAAATCAAACTAGAAGATTATCTCAAAACTCACAAATCTATTAAAGAGAACAAAATCATACTTTTCGTTAGGACCAAAGACAAAGATCCTTGAAATCACAAAGAAAAGCAGATAAAGTCTCTACTGCTACTGCAATACGATGGCATTACCTTTGTAAGCTCAGTTTGGTATGAAAATATAATAAGTAACCTCCTTAATCAGATAAGAGTTACCATTTGGTGAAATGCAATTAATGCTTGCATTAATTAAGCCAAATGATCACTTGCCATGACAAGGAAAGATGATAAAGACAGACGAAGCAAACTTATAAGTTAGACTCAAAATGTTGCAATAATCATCTTCTCCAAGCTACTATATAAGAAGATTCAAAACTTAAGAAAGAGATACAGAACTTACACGAGAGACACTAATTTTAAGTGATACATATACTTTATACAAAAATGCACTCTTTGTAAATCTTTTCTTTCTTGTAAACACTCATTGTTCTCTATTGGTTGTATAGTGTCTAAGTGAGACGAATACAATACTTGTGTAACCTTATAACTATTGTTATAAGGTTGAGCCTAAAAAGGCTTGTTTAAAAAGAATACTTATTTTGAGCATGGAGAGACTTGACTGTAAAATAATACTTGGTTGTTAATCTTGGAGAGGCTTGTTGTTAAAAGACTATTTAGGTAGTTACTTAAAGAGACAAGTCAAAGAATACTTAGGGTTGAGCTACAAGTGACTTATTAAAAGAATACTTATATTTTTGTTTAAAGATAGTGGAATTTAATCTAGTTGGATTGAGGACTGGATGTAGTCATGGTGGTTGAGAAAAACCAATATAAAAACCCCAGTGTTCCATCTGAGTTGTTCTCCATGAAGGAAGTGAATCCATAGATGAAATGTTTGGAAGATTCTAAACAATTCTAAATGGGTCAAGATCTTGGACAACCTTCCTAAGGTTTGGGGACCCAAAGCCACAACTATCTTAGAAGTGCATATCTTAAAGTTCTCACTCTTGTTGAACTTCTTGGAGATTTATGAGTTCATGAGGTTCACTTGAACAACAAAGATCACCCTAAAGCAAAT